AAAAAGGAAATATCACAACAGACACTACAGAAATACAGAAGATAATTAGAAATTATTTTTAAAACTTGTACTCCAGTAAAATAGTAAATATTGAAGGCATTGGCAAATTTCTATAGTCATATGATTTGCCCAATTGAATCAGGATGATATACACAATTTAAACAGATCAATTTGAAGTGACGAAATAGCAGACACCATCAAAAGTGTACTAATCAAGAAAAGCCCAGGACAGGAAGGATACCCAGCCTAGTTCTACAAGACCTTTAAAGAACTAATACCAATACTCTTCAATTTATTTCAGAAAATAGAAAAAGGGGGAGCACTTCCAAACTCATTCTTTGAGGCCAATATCACCCTGATTCTAAAACCAGGCAAAGACACATCAAAGAAAGAAAACTTCAGACCAATATAGCTAATGAACATAGATGCAAAAATTCTCAATAAAATTCTGGAAAATCAAATACAAAAACATACCAAAAAGATAGTGTACCACAATCAAGTGGTGTTCATCCCATGGATGCAAGATTGCCTCAACATATGGGAATCAATAAATGTAATTCATCACGTCAATAGACTTAAAGATAAGAACCAAATGAGCATCTCAATAGATGCAGAAAAAACATTTGACAACATAGAGCACCCCTTGATGTTCAAAACACTAGGGATAACTGGAGCATATCTCAACATTGTAAAAGCTACCTATGCTAAGCCCCAGGCCAACAGCATACTAAATGAAGACAAATTGAAAGCATTCCCTCTAAAAACTGGAACAAGACAGGAATGCCCTCTTTCACCGATTTATTTAATGTAATTCTTGAAACACTGGCCAGAGCAATTAGACAGACAAAAGAAATTAAAGGGATATGGATCAGAAAAGAAGAACTCAAATTAGCATTATTTGCTGACAGTATGATTCTATACCTAAAAGACCCCCAAAAAATTCCACAAGAAAACTTCTAAAACTAGTAAATGAATTCAGCTAAGTATTGGGATACAAAATCAACACTCATAAATCAAAGACATTTCTGTATACTAGTGACAAATCCTCTAAAAGTTAAATGAGAAAAACTACTCCATTTACAATAGCCTCAAAAAAATACTTGGGAATCAAGCTAACAACATAGGTGGAAGACCTTTACAATGAAAACTATAGAATTCTAAAGAAAGAAATTAAAGAAGACCTTAGAAGATGGAAAAATCTCCCTTGTTCTTGGATAGGCAGAATTACTTTTGTCAAAATGACCATATTACCAAAAGCATTATATATGTTTAATGAAATTCCAATCAAAACCCCAATGACATTTCCCATAGAAATAGAAAAATCAGTCATGAAATTCATCTGGAAAAATAAGAGACCCAGAATACCCAAAGCAATCCTTAGCAGGAAGAGTGAAGCAGGTAGCATCACTATTCCAGACCTTAAACTATATAACAGAGCACTAGTAACAAAAACAATATGGTGTTGGCACCAAAACAGACTGGTAGACCAATGGTACAGAATAGAGGATACAGAGACAAACCTACATAATTATGGTTATCTTATATTAGACAACGGTACCAAAAACATACATTGGAGAAAAGATAGCCTCTTCAACAAATGGTACTGGGAAAACTGAAAAGCCATATTCAACAAAATGAAATTGTATGAGTGTGCCTTTCTCCCCACATCCTTGCCAACACTTATTGTTGTTTGTATTCTTAATAGCTGCCATTCTGACTGGAGTGAGATGAAATATTAGAGTAGTTTTGATTTGCAATTCTCTAATTGCTAGAGATGTTGAACATTTTTTCATATATTTATTGATTGATTGTATATTACCTTCTGAGAAGTGTCTATTCAGTTCCTTGGTCCATTATTGATTGGGTTATTTGTGTTTTTAGTGTTTAGATTTTTGAATTCTTTATATACCCTAGAGATTAGTGCTATATCTGATGTGCAAGTGGTAAAAATGTGCTCCTAAGCTTTGGGCTCTCTATTCACCTCACTGATTGTTTCTTTTGCTGAGAAGAAGCTTTTTAGTTTGAATCAATTTCATTTATTAATTCTTGATTTTAATTCTTGTACTACAGGAGTCTTATTAAGGAAGTAGAGACCTAATCTGACATGATGGAGATTTGGGCCTATTTTTTCTTCTATTAGATACAAGGTCTCTGGTTTAATTCCTAGGTCCTCGATCCACTCTGAGTTGAGTTTTGCACTCATACATTGCTGGTAGAACTGCAAAATGGTGCAGCCAATCTGGAAAGCAGTATGGAGATTCCTTGGAAAACTGGGAATAGAACCACCTTTTAACCCAGTTATCCCACTCCTCAGTCTATATCCAAAGGACTTAAAAACAGCATACTATAGAGACACAGCCACATCAATGTTTATAACAGCACAATTCACAATGACTAAACTGTGGAACCAACCTAGATGCCTTCAGTTGATGAATGGATTAAAAATGTGATATATACATACATACATACATACATATACATACACACACAATAATATTACTCAGCAATAAAAGAGAATAAAATCATGGCATTTGCAGGTAAATGGGTGAATTTGGAGAATATAATACTAAGTGAAGTTAGCCAATCCCAAAAAACCAAATGCCAAATATTTTCTCTGATATAAGGAAGATGATTCATAGTGAGATAGGGAGCAGGAACATGGGAAGAATAGATGAACTCTAAATTGGGGAGAGGGATGGGAGGGGAAGGGAGGTTGGCCTGGAGTAGAAAAGACAATGGAATGAGATGGATATCATTACCATAAGTACATATATGAAGACACAAATGGTGTGAATATACTTTGTATACAACTAGATATTTAAAAAATTGTACTCCATATGTGCAATATGAAGTATAATGCATTCTGCTGTCAAATTAGAATTTAAAAAATTTTTAAATGTGGATATTTAAATATTATTGGAGTTTTGCTACAAATTATCAATTTTGTACTCTTAAATAAACCATTTTATGTATTATAATGTATTTAATTCTTCACATCCAAGAAATCACTTAAATTAAAAATATTTTAAGATGCAGCAGATACAAAGCATATTTGTTCTTCAAATGTAGATCAAAAACTATTTTAATGTAGTTCTTTATAGGTTTTGTCTTTAATGTTTTAATTTTTTTTCAATTAAAAGAAGGTATTTTCCAGGATGAATAGGAAAATCCAAATACATACCACATATTAGGTGATTCACACTTCTTCCTAATACATTTTCTCTATATCACCATAGTAACAGCCAAGTGGGTCAGCTGTTTGGAGAACATCATTGATAGCAAGTCCTTTTCTATGCAGTCCAGTTAATGATTGTGAAGAAACTTGTATGTATTGACTTATTTGCCATGTGATGCCCGGGGCTATGAATTTGCAGAATGAGTGTTCATTTATAGATAAATATTTTGGGGATGACATGAGTCACTCTGCTACCTCAGTTCATTCTAAACTCAGTTACTTAACTTGTAACTAAATTAGTGTGTGTACCCAGGAACAGCTTGGAAAATTGGACTGTGCTCTATTCTGATAGGACAGATAAAGAAATTTTCAGAAAAATTTCTTTTCAAAAAATTCTCTTCCATCATCCCAGTTAAATTATGTCAAATAGGGGTAGATGTTTTAGTTGTTTATTAAGTAAACAGATTAATGTAATTAACAACCTGAGTTTCTTCTATCACAAATATAGATACAAATATCTTGGCTCTCAAAGCTCTCAATCCTTATCCTTGTGAAGAGGCAAATGAAACTAGGTGAATGTACCTTCTCTGACAAATGCAGTCAAATTTATTATCTGTTCAATATGTAAACACAATAATGATTCTATTATTTACATTTCAATTAAAAGAATTTATATCTTCTTTCTCTTAACCACATAATAAAATATTTATTTTATGTTAAAAAGCTTCTGCATAGCAAAGGAATAAACAGTGAAGAGACAACATATAGAATAAAAGAAAATCTTTGCTAGCTATTCATCTGAGAAGATTAATATTCAGAATATATAATGAACTTTAAAAACTAACATCAAAATGACAAAGTAACAGTAAAAAGAAAAAAAAGGCAAATGTTCATGATCTCATCCTCTTAGGACACGGAGGCAGTAAAATCTCAAACTCAAAGCCTACTTGGGCACCTAAATTAGACACTAACTCAAAATACAAAAGGGCAGGGGTATAGTTCATCTGTAGAGGGCTTTGCCTCCCATGTGTACAGCCTTTGGTTCATTCTTCATTACCAGAAAAAACAATGAACACATAATCCGAACAGTTACTTCTCAAATGAAAGACAAATGGCTAAATAAATATGTTGAAAAAAACATTCAATATTCTCAGCCACTGTGGAAATGCACATCAAACCTACATTGAGATTCTACCTCACCCCAATCAGAATGGCTATCAGAAAAAAAAAAAAAAACTTCTAATATTGATATGGAGAAAAAAAAATCCTTATACACTGTTGATGGGAATGTGGGAATGTAAACTAGTATAACCACTATGGCAGCAGTACAAGGTTCCTAAAAAAAACTAAAAATAGAACTACTATATGATCTGGTTATGCCACTTCTGGGAATACATAAGAAAGACTTATATACCTATCTTCACCTATTTAAATAGTCAAGTTATAGAATTGGACTAGGTGTCTATAAACAGATGAATGGATAAAAATATGAGATATAGACAATGTAATATTATTCAGCCATGAAAATGAAATCATGTCATTTGTAGGAAAATAGAAGGAAATGTAGGTCATCATGTTCAGTAAAATCTGCTAGAAACAAAATCAAGTACAGCCTATTTTGTTTCATAATTGGAAACTTTAAAAAAAAAGTGGGGGACTATTAGAGAAGGTTGAGGGAAAGAGAGGTTAATAGGGAAAGAAGATAAAATTAAAGCACAACATATGCATATATTGAAATGTCACAGTGAAGCCCATTGATTTGCATAATTAATGAGTTAACATTTATAATAAAAATATGTACACTTAAAAAATAAATTATCTTTACCTGAAGTTTGTTGAATCATATATTCTGCATGCCCCTGGCTTACCACATTTCAAAGTTCCCCAATGTAAACAGGTAGAGTCCACTAAAGCTCCAAAATATATTGGTGCTGGAATGCCAGCTATAATTATCAGAAAAAGAAAACTTCATCAACAAGTTAAGAATTAAGAGACATTATTTTTTGGCAAATATTTCAATTTCCCCTACATGAATAACAAATACTGTGTAAAAATATAAATCAAATGCTCTAAATTTTACTTTAGAAATGTTCTATTACTGTATAAGTAATAGATATATAATATAGTTTCTAGATTATAAAAATAAGTCATGATAAATAAAATACAACAAAATTATTGATAGAATAAAACAGTGAATAAAAATAAATTATATTTTCTGAAATGTTTTGGAAAAAATCATGTGTACATTTCATTTTAACAAAATATTTCCTATTTATTCTCAAGTATTATTGAAGAGAGGTGTAATTAAGTTTTGATAGCAGAAATGAAAGGGAGAAATTCTCTATCTTCCTACATAATTAATTCTCAATACTAATTAAGAATTGCTTATAAACAGAAGGCATATTCTTAAACTGTTATTCTGAGAGAATTATTTCATTTACAGTTTATTAGTATGTATCATACTAGGAAAAATAACATCCTACCAAATATTCTTGTGCAAAATGCATGTAATCCCACACCAAGAGACTTCTCTTCAGACTTGATACACCTAATAAAAAAAATTCATAATAAGCAAAAGTAAAGATTTTAAACCTATCAGAGTTTCTGAAAAAGATTATGCATGCTATTAACAAACACTGAATATTTGAAAAATGTACTTCCATGATCAGGCCTCGGTTACTTAGGGTCTGATTATTCTGCTTCTTCCCAAATAGGAGTCCAATTTCTGATCCCTGGGATTTTACCCATCACTTTTTGCTCAGTCAGGTGTGTGCAGGGACACTAGAAATGAATCCAGAGGTGCTCTATCAGTGAGCTACATTCCTGGTCCTTTTTTATTGAGACAGGTTCTTACCATGTTGCCCAGGCTATATTTGAACTTAAAATCCTCCTGCTTCAAAAGCTTCTGAGTAGCTTGGATTGCAAGTCTGTGCCATCATACCTAACTTTCTTATTTTCTCTCAGAAGAATATATTTCATTTCAATCCATTTTTATCCAAGTATCTTTATATTGAAAGTAGTAGTTCTTGATCTGAAAGGTTAAACCTTTAGCCGAAAGCAAAAACAGCACATATCTAGCTTTTTCAAATTATCTGCATTAATAAGATGTAGGAAATTTCAGATAAAGGAAATATAACTTACGTAAGTATAAGAAAAAAGAAAAGCAATAATAAAAACTTTCCAAAGGAAGTGATTTTAAAAATTCCAAAGCAAAACTATTTTAAGTGATTTGACATAATTTCAAGAGTTGAACAGACATTTCTCCATTTTCTGAAAAAATTTTCCTTGCTTTTCATTGTTGTCTGGAATTCCCATATGTGGAAATTTACACGCCAGACAACATTGGAGTGTAAATGAAAACTATACTGCAAAGGTATTTTTGATGTCTCATCCACTTCTGCATCAGCATGTCTATATGCTCAAAAAGTTCACTTTAAGAACTTCTCTGTGCTCCCTTTCCTTTTCTGATTAACTCAAAGTTGAGAAATATTAATGCTGCTTTCTTCACAGAGTATATTTTTAACAAAAACTACATTTCATTGGTATTTTCTTGATATAGATATTATATTAGATAGAATAATTCTACAATCTTAAAAAGTGAGATGTCATTGATCAAAAGACCATCTATCCGATGGAGAAGTTATTTAGACAACATCAATAATTTTATTTAGAAATTTTATTCAGAGAGAATAAAATCCAGCAGACTTAGAATGATCCTCTTGGTCACCTAATTTATTTTTAATAAATACAAAAATTAAATAAAACATTTAAATTTTATTGAGGAAGTTTTCTTTCTTTTCTGTTTTTAACATACGCCCTGTGATCTCACAAAAACATAGAATTCTAAGAATTCATAAATTATAAGCAGTTTAAACTGTTCTCCAAATTTTATTATTTCCTGACTTTGATAAGAATATCAATTTCTAGAGTCTAGCAATAACAAAAAAAATTATAATGTAAGTTATGGAAAAACTGCTGATAGAAATTTTAATTTTTATTTTAAAATGACAAACTAAAGTAGATGATGCATCCCTTCACCATCACTTTAGAGGATTCCATAATAATAGGTAACAGATATAAATATGTCTATTAAAAAATCCAGGTGTTAAATTCCATAATATGATCTTGGCAAAAGATGGCAGAAGAATAGAAACAAATAAATCATGAACGCATAATAAAGTACTTGTTTTACTAGAGAGTAGATATTAATAACTAAAAGTTTTAAAATTGATATGCAAAGAATAAATGTTGTTAAGAATCTCAATATTCCAGTCAACTGTTTGAAAAGTATAACTTTCAGGGCTCTGTAGTAGAGCATGTGATTAGCATGTATGAACCCTGGGTTCAATTCCCTGTATACACACACACACACACACACACACACACAAATACACACAGTATAACTTTCAAAACAGCAGAAAGAAATCCAATCTGTACAAAGGAAAGGAAAAAAAAGTGCAAACAGAGTTCTACCACAATAATTATAATAAATATAAATGTGTTAAATTCACCAATATCAGGTTAGAAAATCCAATATAGCAAGTTGTTTAAGAAGTGAAATGTAAGATTGAAAATAAAGAGAAGGAAAAACACCTAATGGGCATGTCATGAACCATAGGAAACCCAGAACTATAATTTTAAGAAGAAACAAAATAGAATTCCCTAAAAGAAAAGACTAAATGATAAAGAATAAACTTTATTACTGGTAATAATAAAAGTATAATGATCAAAGTAAACAAATGATTCAAGCATTAAATTCAAATCATTGACTAAAGAACAACCAAAGGAGTTCAAAGGGGTTGGAGAATAATAAAAAGCAGAAATCCATGAAACATCAACTAAATCATAAACTGATTATTTAAAAAATAAAGTTAGATGAGCCTCTGACAATATTGTTGAAGAAACTAGACTTAAATGCAAATAAGTAAAATACAGCAAAAAAAGGAAATTTCTTTTAGACATCAGAGAGTATAAAAATAATAAAAGAATATTATAAACACATACTAATAAACATACAACATGTGTAAGCAGAAATAAAATATGTGATAGAAAATAAAAAGTAAATAAAGAGAAGAAAATTCCACCAGAAAAATTAGTTCAAAGTACAAATATTTTAACAGGTGAGTTTATAAAATTTTCAACAATCAGACAATTTTAAAACAAAGAATTTTAATATCCTTTATCACAAGACTTCTCAGAGATTTTTTAAAGTAGTGCATTATATTTTTACATAATAGTATAATTTTTTTACATATTTGTACATGCAGACAAACTGGGGGATGAAAGCAATAATCAGATATTTAACAAAAGTAAACCTAGCATTGAAAAACTAGAAAATTTACCAGTTCTTTTTGTGGGCCAATGATCTGAGAAAGGAAAAGAATGAAAAATAATAAATCTATTTTGCTTATAAACATAGATGTGACAATTGTTTGAAAGGGTGCACTGATCCCTTCAAGTAGATCAGTGTATAGAATGGATGGAATAAGTCCCTGTTCCTTCTTCCTGTTCCAAAAATCCATTTAACCTGTTTACCTCAAATAGAGAATGTATCAGAAATTAAACTGATAAGAACAGGTTGTATATTTGACTTTAGTAAAAATGCCAAGAAGCTATAGCTATAACAATTTTAAGAAAAATTCAAACAAAAAAGTATTCAAAAAAATAAATCATATTTTTAACTATATTGTGATTAAATGGTGCTTTTATCAGATAAGCAAATAAAGCTCAACATTTTTCACTTAATCTCACTAAGCAAAAGTTCTGAATTGAAAAATCACGTATTTTATTTTCAGAGATTAAGAAAAATTTATTTGATAAAGTTTACCACCTATTTTATTATCAAAACTAGATGAAGACTACATATTAAAAGTATACAGCAAGCATTATACTCAATGAAGAAATTTGATAAGGTTTGGAAAATAAGAGTACTGACTAAAGAATACTCATTTAACTATGCTGAGAGCCATAGCCAAGTAGGAATGACGCATGGCATTTTTGGGTTGAAAGGTGACCCTGCTCAGGGATTAGGGTGGCTCCAGGTTTAGGGTGGATCCTGCTGGAATAGGGCAGATCCAGGTTTAGGGTGGATCCTGCTGGGATTAGGGCATATCCTGCTGCCTCAGGCGCCCACTCCTTGAGTTCCCATTGAGTTCTAGCGGGGTTCTGAGAGAATTGGTAGCAGAGCCCGGTGGAGGGAGTGTATTTTTCCCAGAACGTGCATGTAGAGTGTTGGTGAGAGTTCGGGAATAAAGAGTTGCTGTTGGAATCTACAAGTTTTTGTGGTGGCTCGGTTATTTTGTGCCCAGACAGACTGCGGCATAACTATAGTTCAGTATAGTTTGGGGGTTGCTTGTTGATGCCATAAGAAAATTTTAAGTCTGAGGTGAGTAAAATCTGAAAGTGAAAAGATAAAACTTCGTACTTAAACATGGAAAATTTACATAGAAATCCTAGCAAAACTCTCAGATGTGGGACCCATTCAGTGTCAATTAGCTCCTGTGTATCAGAGGTGGAGGCCGAGGACAAAACTACAATGGAAGCTAGACCAGTAATGGTCCAAAATGAAAGACTCAGGAGGAGTGACTAAAGGGACTGATCCAATTCTGCTCACTGCTCCAGAGAGATATTTAGAATTACCATGAGACCATTTATCTCAGCAGAGCTGATGGAGCTGGGGTCCAAGTTTGGGTAGAAAATGAAAGGAAGTATACTGGCATGGCTACTCCACCTGTGGGACACTGCGGCAGTTGGGATAATGTTGAATGTTACAGAATCATCTAAGATGGCTTCAGTAACTGCTCACCCTACTTTACAACAGTGCCTTCACTCCAGTGCAGCTAGGGGAAAGTAGCTTTGGCTGCTTCTCACTGCTTACAATATGTGACCAAATTCAGGAGATATTCCCGTGCCCAGAGGCAACCTCTATAGAAGAATTACAGGTCTATTTTCAGGAACTGGGGATGAAATATGCTATTTACATGCATAACTTCTACTGCCAAAACGAGGGATATAGTGCTGTTTACAACTCAGTCCATGCATCCAATTAGGGTGCCCTGGTGTTAATATTGTCCACATTGGCAGGGCAGCACCTCCAGTGAGAAGTGCAAATTACAGCAGATATGGAAATAATACAGCAGAAAACAGGAGTCTAAAACCCAGCACAAACTGGAAAGGCATTTTCAAGTCTCCCATAAACAGATATAGGTGGACTTATTTGTAGCAGGAGTAGATGAAAGTAAAATAGATAAATAACCTAATGCTACTCTGGTACAATCATGAAAGCAATCACCTAAGGACAAAAGACTTAATCTCTTACTCCCCAAGAAGGGAAAAGAAAGAGATACAGTGAGAAATGTAGAATGGACTCCTACTCAAAAAGGAGGTAAATACAAACTTCTCTTATTAGGAGACATAATAAAAGCAAAGCCCATGGTTTCCCCTGAGTTTTTCAGCCCTTGGTTGTGGAATGACTAGAGGGGAGGTTGAGAAACAGGGGTCTGAGCCATGTCTCCAGACAGGAGGCTGTGTATAGAACTGGCAACAGAC